GCAGAGTCCAGGGAAATTTATTTTGGCATAGGGAGCATAGCCAAAAAGAACTCTGATTCTTATGTCTATGATTGAAGCTGGTGGAAAAAAAAAAAGACTCAGCAGTGCGCAGAGAACCAGCAAAGGAGCTCCTGCACCCCCTCCCGACTGGAGCAGTTCACCACAAGTCCGTTGCGCAGCTCCAGCCCCCAGTGAGGAAACACTGCGTGCTAGTGTGTCAGTGGCCTTAGGCTGAAATGAACCAAGCTGAGGATAACAGGCAGCTGTGGACCCTCAGAAATGAGCCTTTTCTGGTCTCTGTTTTTCCATTCACAGCTACATCAAATATGAATTTAACCCCAATGTTCATTTCAGCCAAGAGACTGACAAAGGTCGTATTTGTGCCATAGGAATATATCCACATGTGCACACTCACACTCACACACACACACGCACACTTTAAGTAAGGACCCATGGAGCACCCGTACCTAACCTAATTTCAGTAGAATCAAGTGACACCTCTTACTTACATTTTTCCTTTCTACTCCCGCATGAGTTTTTTCCACTGGAAAACACACAGAGCCCCAGAAAACTCACAAACATGGTATGCTTCCATCTTAGGAAGCTTAAGTCAACTTATTTTCTAAGGTACTTTTTTAGCTATAGAAATCCTAAGGGAGAGCCCTGGCTGGTATAGCTCAGTGGATTGAGCGCGGGCCTGCGAACCAGACAATCGCGGTTCGATTCCCAGTCAGGGCACATACCGGGGTTGCAGGCTAGTTCCCTGCAGGACAGTTCCCAGCAGGGGACCCATGAAAGGCAACCATACATTGACGTTTCTCTCCCTCTCTCCTTCCTTTCCCCTCTAAAGATAAATAAATAAAATATTAAAAAAAAAAAAAAAAAAGAAATCCTAAGGGAAAAATCACTATAGTAGCCACTTTGAAATGTGTGAATTATATAAACTGTATATTTTGCCACTGTTACTAGAAGACAATAAACTGATCTTGGCTTTTATTCCCGTTCCTCTGCATCGTGCATGTTAGTCCGTAGAACTGATCACTTAAGCCAAAATGTTTGTAAGCAGAAACTGTGTCTTTGTTCAGAAGGTATATGGTACTGTATTCTGGTAGACCACGTCGTCTCCATGACACCCATCGCTGTGTTCTGATCGTGCTCTCGTAAACATTTGTTGAGGGTTGTGTTTTGTTTGGAAACTTTGCAATTAGAAGAAGAAAAATAAGAATTAAAAAAAAACAGTATTTAATTCAACCTGGATGTTTTAAAAAGCAGTTTGAAGGATGTGATGGACTGTTTCTTTATTCATTAAATAAAAATTTATTTATTCTCAATTAATTGTTGGGTTTCTTGTGTTGCATTTTTGTTCCCAGACTTGGTATGTGAGATGGGTAAGTTCTCACTGTCAGTGGTTTTCTCCCAGCTCAGGTATTTGTTGGTTACACTTCCAGTTTGAAATAGCAAACCAAACATCCTGTGTTAATTCAATAAAGGTTGTTAAAGCTTGTACTTAACTCGTGTATTCATGACCAGAGAGCGGAATGAGTATATATTCTGAGAAGCTAGGTCATATATTTATGGTCTTATATGCCCTTTGAAATTTCTTCCACCTTCTCAGTAATAAAGAGGGATGTCTCTAGTGACACCTAAAGAAAGCAGAGAGCAGAGTCTAGCCAAATTCAGTCCAAAAGCAGCACTTTTACTTTTGCTGTAAAATGGCATGATTTAAGTGAACTGAGCCTTAATCACTGAATCCTGCAGCTCCATTACCCACAGCACAAACAGATGCCATCTAGTTTATATCGAATAGGAATCTTAGAGCTTGGTTAATATAAATGTCACCACATCAACTCAGAAACTGGCTGCGTTGGGTGTTAAGAAAGATAACCTAGTCGTTCTTAACATTTGCAAATACAGAGAATGAGAAGTTGATATAATTGGTTTTTGGTAACGAGGATAATGGTGTCACAGTAAATATTGTTTAATTAAGTGGTTCTCAACCCTGCCAGCCCATTAGAATCACCTGGGAAACATTTTAAAAATATCTATGCCCACATCTCACCTCAGAGCAGTTAAATCGGTTCTTGAGCTGGGAGCCCCAGGCTTGGTATTTTTTCCAAGACTCCGTAGGTATAATTCTAATGAGCAGTCCGAGTTGAGAACCACAGGCTAACATGGCTTTTCCCATTTTGATAGCCCACTTCACTTGTATGTGATTCTTCAAGGCTTCTGACCTTGGGCCTTAGGGCTTAAACCTCCAGCTGGCACCTAGGGAGCGCCCGCATATAACTAGTCCAGCTGAAAGCCCTGCCCAGGGAGGGTGGGGGAGGAGTCTTCTTTTATTATTTATTGTCCTTCTTAAGAGCTCTCAGGGCACGTGTGGTAGTAAACTGATGAAGCATTCAGCTATACTCTGTCCAGGACTGCTTATTGATTAATGCACACATGTTCCCGGCTGCCTACCCAAGGACAAGGATGGTGTTGAGTAAGCCTGAGTATGAGTAGGTACTTGACAATATTTGTTGATTTATTTTTAAAAAGGGAGGCCAGGTAAAATAAACATTTTTTCAATATATTGAATTTCAATATGTCTTGCTGTCAAACTAGAACATGGATTTTCAAAGGTGAGCAGTATAGAACATTGTAACAACTTTTAGGATGATTGGTAATCTAAAATCTATACTGTATCTCTCGACTTAAAAAAATTTTACACTTGCTTTTTCCAAGCTCTTAACCCATAAACCATGATGGATTTTCCAACATACAGTTTTGAGAGTTTTATCAAAGACTGGATGTGACGGATCACTGAGACCTAGTTACATTTCCCTGAAATATCTCCCAGGAAAAAATAGTACATCGAGGTAGATGGAAAGCTTGGGGAGTTGGTAAGAGCTAAACTGCTCCCAAAGATTTCTGAAACACAGAAATGAGCAGCTAAAGGCATAGCATTTAACAGACAGATTCCCATTCTTTTGAAAGAGTGGGGATAGGGAAGGAGAGGCACGGGACTAGAATCCTATCACTTTAATTGTTCAATTTCATTAAGAAACTGCTGTTAATAACCCTTAAAGAAATATTTATTAAGTGTTCGTTTTGTTTAAACCTCTGTACTAAAAGCTGTAGAAAGAAAATGAAGAGAACATTCTCTTTCATAAGGTATTATTCACAGTCCAGGTAGGGGAATGTGAACCTGAAAACAGGCACGCGATCTTAACACATTTTTGAGAGCTTCTCTAATACGTTTTTTTTCCACACTGATTTTATTCATTCTCAAACTCTACAAACTTACGGGGGTTATTTATGAAGCCTCTTAAGTCTAAATAAGTAAGCTATTGTACTTAAATACGGAGGCAGGCAGATCCGAAGCCTTGTCATTAACCGAAGCGCACGCTGTAGAGGGGAGTGTGACCAGGAAAGGGTCCTAGCATCGCCACTTCTAGAACTGTGTCGGCTGCTAGACTGCAGTGTCTTCTAAGAGCTGTTGAAGTCAAGAAGTTAAACATTTTACTCTCCGATCTGCGGTGCGGAAGTCAAGTCCTCAGCCCTCCTCGGATTCTCATCAGCTAACAGAAGGGAAATGTCTTGTTAGTCTCTCAACGGATTTCTAGAGATACACTTTGTAATTCTGTAAGTTTAAATTTCTGTGCTGGGGAACACACATTCAATTACAAACTAAATGGATTTTGACAATTCTACCTAAGAAAGTAAAAATTTTAATGGAGACTCTCAACTGCAAATATATGGTTGTATTTGATGTTCGGGCATTGGAATCCACAATAAAAGAGTTTGGGTGGCATTGTTGTTTCTGTTGACTTGTGATACTTCCAAAGGCAACTTTGAGTCCTACTTATTCTAATTATTAACAAGACATTCATTCTCCCAAACACATTCAGTGCTGATGACTACAAAGTCACTCTTTTTGTTAAGGTTTGGTTTATTCATCTAGTGGGTAAGCAAATTTATAAAAGTAATTCAACCAAATACCATCTGTATTATTTTTGCTCCCATCTTGATTAGCCTTGATGGCAGTGAAACTCTTACTGCTCGATTTGCACTGATTAAAAGGAAATCACTTCCAAAAGCAACATTTTTTATTTATCTTAGCCTTAGCTTCTGTGTGTGTGTGTGTGTGTGTGTGTGTGTGTGTGAGTATTATAGGGACAAATATAGAAACAATGTATATATATTCAGGTACTTGAAGGAATCAACAGTAACTGGCTTAATAAAAACATAAAATATTAAGGAATTATATATCTAGTTACTTAAAACTAAATATTTCAGTTAATTTAATCATTAAAAACATGAAAAATACATCTATATTTCCAAGTTGACAGAGAAAACTTTCAAGTTAATTACTTGTACTCACATAGCTTGTGTATGTGTGGGGGGGGGCTGTTGAGGAAACATCACAAAACAGCTCATTTACCACCGGGGTGACCAGATTTAAACATTCTTTGCTCAGGGAAGCACTCAATATCATCACCCCCAATTAGGCCTTTAGTGCCATCAAGAAACTAGCAGGGGACCTGGCACAAAAAACAAACTCACGTTTTTATCTATATTTTACAAAATCTATATTTGAACCATGTATACAGTTTTTAAAAATACAGAGCCTTCATGCCCGTGTACTCTACAGGAAAAAGTCTGACTACTTCATGCATGCGCACACAATGCACTAAGCATAAATGCATTTACGAGACAGGAAGGTAGCTCTGCTTTAAGTATACACAAGGAATGGGTATGTAACTTCGTCTGAATAGGACAAATTTACAAAGTTCAAACAACTGATTATTTCTCTGAGGACTAAAACTGCAGTATAGCCTAATTCTGTCTTTTCTTAAGACTGTTTTCCCTCAAACTATTCCAGAAAAGGGAGAAGGGAAATTATTTTCACAGCAATCAAAACCATTCATAAGATCCATCAGTGAATTCTGCAAAATGCTGATAAGGAGGGGAAAAAGACAATAATATTATTGCGTCCATAGACTAGTGATGCGAATAAAAGTAACCCGCAAGTTTGCTGATTTTCTAAAAAAGCATCCTCGGCCTCCGAAAGCCCCTGCATACACTGGGAAAACGGGTGCGGCTCCGGAGCTGGATCCCTGGGCATTCCTCGCCCCCCACATCCCCAGCAGGGCCGCGAGCCCTAACTGGCCATCTGGAAGGGTTCTGGCTGGAACCCGAAAAGCCTCTGGCCATAGGGCTCGCTCTCGCCTGGCAGCTTCGCGCCCGCAAACGGGAGGTAGTGCTCGCGGCCGAAGTGCTCGCAGTGGAGATTGACCCAGTCCCGCTCCGAGCCGAATCGCTCGGCCTCAGCCAGGATGCGCGTCAGAGCCATAATGTAACTCAGCGCCATCTGCAGGGTCTCATACTTGGACAGCTTTTTATCCTGGCCCCACTGAGGCACCACCCTGCGCAGGCGGTCGAAGGCAGTGTTGAGCCCCTGCATGCGACGGCGCTCGCGCGCATTGGCCGCCAGGCGCCTGCGGGCCGCGCTCTCCAGCCGGCCGGCCCCGGCGCACGTGCCCGCGCACTCGGCGCCGCCCGTGCACGGGGGCGCGGCACGCGCTCCGGTCGCGGGGTTACTGGGCTTGCTGGACTTCATTCCCCGCCGGAAGGAGGGAGGCGCCGAGCTCGCTCGCCGGCTCGGAAACTGCGCGGTGGGCTGGTCTGTAGAGCGGCTCCCCAAAGTGGCTCTTCTCAGCAAGTAAGTTACACACACAGCAACTCGCGTGGAATCAGTTTACACTGGAAAGTACGGGCCTCCGCCTTCTGGCCGACTGGATAACCAGATCGACTTCTCTTCACTTGCTCAAAGTTAGGGGAAATTGAAAAGCTGAAGAGAAAGTCATTTTCCCAATGTGAAGTTGAGAAAGAAAAGGGAACCTTCTTGCCGCAGAAATTAGTGTGGCTGGTTCCGGGAAGGCCTTTCGAGTCCTCTGGGAAAGCCCGAGACTTCTTTTCCGAAGGTGAAATCTTTCTCGAAGCTCAGATCGGGAGGGAGCGCATTTTCCGCTGTGGCTGTGGGAGAATGCTGGATAAATCTTTGAGGGAGGAGAATTTATAGCGAGGGCTGAAGGAGGAAACAGGTGGTGGCAGGTGGGCGGGCGTCCCTCGGCTTCCATCTCAGCACCTTCCTACCCTGGGAACTGCAGGGGGGGAAGGGGGACGATGCGCAGCAAAATCCTGACATTACAGCCTTCGTCTGTTGAAGTTTCTCCAAAGCTATGTCCAACAGCAACACACCATCTGGAGGGGCCTGGCTGTTCCCAAAAGAATAACAAGTTGGGGGTCGGTAGGAGTGGGGGGAGAGCTTGGTTCATCTTTTCCCATGTCAACGGGCAGCTTGCGTATCAAAAACTTAACCGAAATTTTAAGTTTCTTAGAAATCATTTGCGTTGAATATGTTGGTCTTGAAATTATACGCTGTATCAGTTTAGTATAAGATTTAGCTTTGTCAACATATGTGCCAATTTTGGATAATGCTGATCTCATATGCTGACATTTTAATTTTAGCTATTAAGTTGGGACAAATTAGCAGGTCTAATATTGCAGACCTGGAGTTTTACTGTGCAGATAATTTGGCTGTTTTCTGCAGAATAATTTATTATAACAATCAAAAGATATTAATGGTATGTCAAAAAATTATATTATTCTCATTATATAACTGGATTGTGTGAGTTGGGAAACTTAGGTAAATTAATTCAAAATTTATACTCCATTTCTCCTGACACATTTTCATAAATGTTTTGGGTACGTATATGAAGATGGTTGTCACTTAATTATTTAATTTGACATTTAAACTCAACAAAACTAATCTTAATGAACATATATGTGCCAAATAGAAACATCTAAGTAATTTGTGAGGTGTTTTAAAATAGTTCCTAATGAAAGTCCCCCACACACCTCATAAAGCTCTGAATACTTCATGGATGTTTCAGGTGCGTCAGCTGTCCTCAGTGACAATAATGAAGCATGATTTCCACTCCTGATAATGATAAGCTGGTTTATCCAAGAATCCATTAGCTTGATTCTCTCATCACAGCTTCATTCTAGCTCTTAAGGAAGAATAAAGTAGCAAAGAAACCTGCTCCAAATAGATTCAAGCCAGGATTATTTCTGGATTCTTCAGGAAGACCAAATATGTTCTTTTTCCTTTTGAAACATGGGTTCATCAGCATTATTCTCAGCCATTTTTGTTTCATCACATTACTGACAAACTCAACAAATGTTTGTCAGTAAAACTCAGGAGTGTTTTAACTGTGACTCGCTTCCCTGACATTGCCTCGGATTGAAACCCCATTGTGACGGCTGTGACTCCAAGTCCAGTCTGCCCATAAATAGTTGATTAATCCCCAGCTGAAGCAATGACAATGAAATGAAGTTGAGTGATATGATGACAATAGAGTGTAATTGAGCATTAATGATCTGCAGCATGACAGATGTTGAGCAGACTTTTGCACAGAGCCACTCAGCTCTGTTACTCTGGGTATTAGCAGGCTTGGCCAGGAGCAGTAGTCTTGTGACAGAAAAGTCTATGTTATTTAGTCATCAAGGTGTCACCTATTTTTTCTTAGTTTTTATGGAAATCTGCCCTACTAATGATATTATTTCTCGTGTTCATTTATCTCGTCCCTTTCCCCCAGGGAGCCTCTTCTGTGCTACTCTTTGGACTACTTCCCTACATACTGTGCACTTATTCTGGACATTAATGAGCAAAGGGCTAATGAGATGCATGATTTTGCAGGCAGGGCATGTATTCAGGGTTGGTAAGATTATGTGGCTTGTGCTCCCAAAGAATCGAAAGCAGCCCTGGCCGTGTGGCTCAGTCAGTTGGAGTGCCATTCGATAAGCCGAACGGTTGCTGGTCTGATGTCTGGGCAGGGCACATGCCCGGGTTGCAGTTCCATCCCAGTTGGGGTGCATATGCAAGGCAACAGGTTGATATTTCTCTCGCTTCCCTCTTCCCCCTCTATAAAAATCAATAAATAAAATTCTTTTTTAAAGAATCAAAAGCATAGAAAGGGAAACATAGCAAGCAGTTTGCACACAGCTCAGCTATATGAGAACATAAACTAGCAGATATCTATGACGTGAAATCGATCCAAAGATAGTATTATTGCAATAAAGGGTCTTAGGAGGTATGTAATAAGACATTTCTCAAATGTATTCCGAAAGACAATTTATTAGTCCTGTAAAGATGCTCCTGGAGAAAGAGATTCCATTGTCAAGTAAGTTTGGGAAACACATTTGCTACCTCCTGCTTAGAGAATCATGAAGCAAAATTGGTAACATTTCTAAGAAGTCCAGAAGTAAAGAAGTCTCTTCACTCCAGCATTTCCCAAACTTTCCTGAATAGAACGTTTTTTCCTAGGAAGTCCTATTAACAGAGTTCCTTGGAACACTTTTTTTAAACCTGATCTAGGGAGTCCCGCTTATTTTATGGGACCTGGAAACTAAACACTGTGCTCAGCCAACAGCACTGAGCGATTTGATGACTGAATGAAGATGAGAAGTCAAAACCTATGTGTCCTTTGATTTTAGAGGTTTTGAAATTATGAGATTACTTGATACAGGACCCCGAGTTTACTGGTGGGGCAACTGAGACTTGGCAGTGACTTCCCAAACTCAGACAAGTCACTAGTGAAAGTTTTAGGAATAGAATTAGAAATTTTGTGCTTGAAGGACAGTGTCATTTATGTTATAACCCCAGTGTCTAGCACACTGCCTAGAAAATGATAGGTAATAAATGACCCAGACTGAATGGCTGGAAAATAAATTATATGAATGACAGATAGATGCTGATCAGAATGAATGCATTCTGCCCTGACTGGTGTGGCTCAGTAGATTGGGCATCATCTAGCGAACCAAAAGGTTGCCAGATCGATTCCCAGTCAGGGCACATGCCTGGGTTTTGGGCCAGGTCCTTGGCTGAGGGCATGTGAGAGGCAACCGATCAATGTTCCTCTTCTTCTCTTGCTCCTTCCCTTCCCCTCTCTCAAAAAGTAAATAAAATCTTTTAAAAAAGAGTAAGTGCATTCCTGGTGAATAGCCCATAAGAATGATTTTTCTTACCTCATCCTGTAAAGAACACACACTAGCTACAGATTTTGAGTGCAAAATTGATTCTTATCAAAAACACACCCATAGCACTTTGAGCCGGAAGAACATGCATATTTCTACAGTGTTTCTATACTGAGGGCATGATCCTGCCAGGTGAATTGGCAGTTAGTATATGCCTGGAGGTTGGCCAGAAATCAAAACTGGCAGATGGAGATGGGAGGGAGAGGAAGACAGAAGGAGCTTACACCTGTAGGAGTAGAAAAATTGGGAAAATATCATTTTAGAGGTAAAAGATGAATGACTGGAAATTACTACACAGAATATGTAGACTAAGGGAGCATTTCTCCACCTGTTGAGATTTTGCTTCCCGGCAATTGTCAGTTTGGCCCAAATAAACTCACCAAAGACTCTGCAGGTTCAAATGTCTCTTATGTTGCCATTAACTTGGCGTAGTGCGGCGGGATTCCAAAGAAGCCCACGCAGGACCACCTTGCAGACCCTGACTTCCTGCTAGGTACCAGCAGGGACCCGCTGTACCTCACTAGCTCCTCATTTTGCAAAGGGTGAACATGGGCCCCTACTTTGGAGACTGAATCCATGTCTGCCCTTCAGGCTGGAACTCCAGAAAAAGTGCACAGGCCTTTTTCCCAGGAAGGCTGGGGAAATCTGTGAGCCCGAGGAGCCTCGGATAAGGGCAGATAGGAACAGGGGAGCAGCTGCGATGGCTTCAGGAATCCCAGTGAACATAAAGGAGGAGGTGACCTCTGCCTAGACCTCCTCAGCTGCCTAGACTTCCCGACAGAACTTTTGAACCTGGACTGTGGGCATGGCTTCTGTCAAGCCAGCATCACTGCAAACAGCAAGGAGTCCATGATCAGCAAAGAAGGAGAGAGGAACTGCCCCGTGTGCCGAGTCAGTTGCCAGCCTGGAAACCTGGGGCCTATCAGCATGTTGCCAACTCAGTAGAGACACTCAGAAAAGTCATTCTGAGCCCAGAGGAGGAACAACAGAGAGCTCTCTGTGTGCACCATGGAGAGAAACTCCTGCTCTTCTGTAAAGAGGATGGGAAGTTCATTTGCTGGCTTTACAGGCAGTCTCAAGAGCACCAAGGCCACCACACTTTCATCATGGAGGAGGTTGCCCCAGGAGTACAAGGAGAAGGCCCAGGCAGCTTTAGACAGGCTGAGGGCAGAGCACCAGGAAGCCGAAAAGTTGGAAACTGACATCAGAGAAGAGAGAACTTCCTGGAAGAATCAAATATAAAATGAGAGCCAAAGCATCCAAGATTGTTTTAAAACACAGAGAGGCATCCCGGACACTGAGGAGCAGAAGGAGCTGCAAAAGCTAGAGAAGGAGGAGGGAGATATCCTCCATGACCTGGAACAGGCCGAGAGTGAGCTGGTCCAGCTGAGCCAGGTGTTGAGAGATGTCATCTCTGATCTGGAGCATCAGTTGCAGGGGTCAACAGTGAAAATGCTGCAGGATGTGAATGGCATCATGGACAGGAGTAAGACCTTCACTCTGAAGAAGCCAACAACTATCTCCAGGAGCAAAGGAGAGTGCTCCAAGTTCCTATCCTGAGTGGAATGCTGAAGGTGTTTCATGAGCTGGCAGATGTGCGCTGCTGTTGCGTTCACATTACCCGGGACCCTCCCAAGAACACACCAAATGTTGCCTTTTCTGTGCATCAGACACAAGTGAGGTACAAATACTGTTTCAGCCTGTAAATACAAATCAGAATACTGATTATGCTGTGCTCACCATACTGATTATTATATCAGGGAAACATTACTGGGAGGTAGATGTATGAGAGGAACGTGCCCAGGTCTTGGGGGTATATGGCAAAAACTACTTTGTTAACTCTAGTTATCAATCTAAAAATGGCTATGGGTTATAAGGTTCTAAGGTTACAAGTATTTCGTTAAAGACCAGAAAAGCAAGGTGTTAAAAG